CATAGCTATTCCAGGAGATACACTGAAAGTCCTCAAACAGCACAGCCATCTACGAAGCCGATTATTTTTTGTATCATTAAAGGGACACACCAATATTCTCTATTCCAAGATTAGAAATTCCAGAGAAGTGGATCTACATTATATGAGCATGCGATTGGATTTTGGTGCACTTTGCTCCGGAAGGTATCCTCAAATCCTGAGCCAAGTGTATCAGAATTGCATATACCAATTACGTTTTAAATTCATTCAGTGTGGTAAACATTTGGTACTCGTTTTACAGCGGGTACATCGGTAGCGGAGTATGCGTGTTTTCAAAGTACAAGATAGTCGATACACTGATGCATCCATATTCACTGAACGGTTACGGTCATCATATCCACCACGGCGACTGGTTCGGCGGAAAGGTGGTCGGCATGGCTAAGCTGTTGCATGAAGACCTGAAGATCAACTTCTTCGCCACCCACGTAGGTTGATGGTGACTTCCGGCCTTCTCAGTTCACGCCTTATTCATGTATCATTGTAGATCCATGCCGAATACAACCGGGCGAATGACGTCTATTTGCCGCATCGAATCGTGCAAGCTTACGAATTGAGTCAACTTGTGAAAAATCTTTCGTCAGGTGCTGACATGTCGATCGTTGTCGGTGATCTGAACCTGGAATCACAGGACCTTGGCTACAATCTGATCGTCTCCAACGGCCGCCTGAAGGACGCCTACTGTGAGCGGAAAGACACGGTTAGTGAGAACATAGTATTTGAATAGTATTTACATTAATTGCTGCTTTTTATCACTTTCGTTCGGGGTACGGTACTTAGGCAGCTCTGATTTCCCTAAGTTCATGATGAGGAGGAAAGTTCTTGGCAAGTCAGTGAAACAGCTTTGTCCTACTTTTAGAGGCGATTCTTTCTTGGCTCTTTTGATTGCTGGGTTTTCCAATCTAGCTGTTGGAGGTTCGCTGCCACAAGATATTTCCGGCACAGGACCTTGTTTCGAGGCCGTCAAAGGATTAAGGAGACGGCTGAATTCAATCTTTCAATCAGTCTCCTTGCCATTCTCAGCATTTAGAGAAAATCTGACTAAATCATTTTGGGGTACGACAAGTATGCATGTTATTTTGTAATTGGTAATGGGGTTAATGATAAGATGATTCATAATGGTCGCATTATCAATGGAGATTTTTCCTGGTTATGGATCTCCTTCATCGAGATTTCCGGAGATGCGCCGATCATTAAAGCAGATTCATGGTTCCGCGTTATCCAAAGGTTTCAGCGTTCGAAGCAAATCTTCGGTTAATGCCCTGATATGAAATCTGTTATACAGTTGGTTGATTGCTCGCTGCAACGTTAACCTCAAGGGACTTTCTGTACAGCTCAGCAGTGCTAGCCTCTCCTTTACTCGATAGTTTTTGTATAAGCATAAGCAACCCATCATCTTGGTTAGCTGTTTAACCCACATCCGTGGTATGTTATTAGCATTCAGAACCACGTTAGCGACCAGCGAGAATGTATAATGCTGTATCTTTCTCTGAAGTGCAGTCTTGTAGGAGCTTCTTGATACGGCGGGTTT